CCTGGCGTGGTGGTGCATGCCTGTAATCCCAGCACTTGGGAGGCTGAGGCAGGAGGATCACTGTGAGTTCTAGACCAGCCTGGGCTACATAGTGAGTTCCAGGTCAGTCTCCACTATACAGTGAGACCCTGTCTCAAAAAACAAACAAAAAAAAAATTTTATTTGAATTCCAATTCCATTGCTTGCTAGCTAAGAGAGTTTGGGTGCTTTATGTAACTTTCAGTGTTCATTTCCTCCAGGTTCCACTGAAAATGATAATAGCAGCCAATTACTAGGACTGCCTAAGGATTAGGGTAGTTCATCTGAGCGACACTTAGTACTTCCTGTCATGCATAATGAAGCTTAGAAGAGTGTCAGCTAGTATTGTACTGAAAGAAGAAGAGAAAGAGAATACTTATATGTTAGAAAGAAAAGGCAATTTGTTGATAAGCCTAAAGATAAATATTAAGAGAAATGATTCAACACTGAAGAACTTAGTGGCTTACTTGAGGAAATAGAATGATATACAATGTCCAGTGACCCATGCCATGTGCCACTTCTTGCATTGTCACATGGGAAGTAGCTACATTGTGAGAGTTATATAAGACCAGTCTTAGTTATCATCATGCTAGGTGACATTCTGTTTCAGGAACTCTTGTTCAAGGCTGGGTGTTGAAAACACCAGTGAACACAGATGAGGAGAGGTGAGCAGGTAGCCTCTCCAGACCTGGGAAGGCATGAACAGGGTTTGGGGTTACAGGAAGTTCATGTGTGGATGAATGAATCGCTGATTGTTCAGTGCTCTCTTGTGGTCCTCAGACCTGAGGAACCCTCAGAGAGGACACTTCCCAGCTTAAAGCCTGTGAACAAAAGTGCAGGTAGTAGACACTAGGTGTCTAAGATACCTAGATGTGGCAACATGGCAGCTGCCTTCTCGGCAGTGGGAGGAGGGCCAGGCAGTGGGCAAGAGTGCAGGGAGCACCACTACTAGTTGTTTACTGCTCCAGGTTGTATTTTATCTGTATCTTATTCTAAACAGAATTAGAACTAGATCGACTTTGTTTTGTTAAGTGTTTAAATTATAAACAAAGGCATGGTGAAAACAGAACAGTTTGTTTGTTTATTTATTTTTTGGTGGGGGGATCAAACGCTGGTCCTTGTGTTTGTGGTCCTTGTGTTTGCGAGGCAGGCGGTAGAACCACTGAGCTAAATCCCCAGCCCTCAGAACAGAGTTTAAATGGTAATCTTACCTAGTTTTTTTAAAAATTCAAAACAAAAACACACAAGAAACAACTGTGTCAGTTGAGTGTTTCTGTGATCAGACTATGGGTGACTTTTCCTCGTGTTTTCTGAAATTTCCTATGATCAATCTGTATTATAATCAAGAAATACTTTTAAAATTATACTCTAGCAGCAATGTGGAAGACAGATTGTTAGAGGGTAATGACTCTGGCAAGAGACTAGGAAGCTACTGAAAACAATGACAATAGTAGTATTTATGAAAGACTTACTCTGTCTCAGGCGCTCTGCCAAGTACTTTATAGGCACCACCTCATTTAATCTTCCATAACAGTTGTACAAGTGAGGACTGTTGGTGACTGCCTTTTAACAAGGAGGAAGCAAAAGTCAGGTTAAATAAATTTTCAGGATCATGGAAATGGTATGAGATTTGAACCTAGACAGTTGGACTTCTAACCAGCATGCCATATTGTGATTGAAATTGGTTAGCTGAGAAACAAGTCCTAACTATAACAATGGTACTAGAGTGAAGAGGGCCACCAAAGAAGGGATTTGCCTTGAAACACTTTCTGGAAGGCGTGTTGTTCATGTTACAAAAGGCTGTCATATTTCAGAAGTGTCAAGGGCCCCTGGTGTCAGGGACGGGTGCTTTGTCAACTAGTGTGGTGGAATATGTCTTTGTGAATTCAGGCTCAAGACAAGGCTTAAAGATAAAGGTGCTCCTGTTGGAATTATGTGAGATGGAGACCATCCCATAGTAAAACCTCATTGTCTTATCCATGGTAGATGAAGTGGTGCAGATGTAGGTTCATATAACAAATGAATTCACATTTTCCATAGGTATGATGGTGAAATTTGGAGACCCCTTAAGCACTCATAGTAAATAATTGATGAGAAATTATGGGAACAGTTTTATAAAAGCATGAGTAGTTCCTATAGCACAGCAAAAGAAACCTAATAAAGTTTCTTGGTAAATCTTGCCACATATGCAGTTTCGGCCCATATTATCAGGTAACCAAAACCCTAAACACCAAGGGAGTTGTTTCATGAAAATTATGGGTTTCTGAGGGCCTGAATGGTTCTTTATTAGTTTGTTCTCTGAGTCTTGAAATACTAGAAGATTTAGGTTAAATTTAGAAAACATACAAGGGAATGTCTTTCTCCAGAGGGTAGTATGATACTTGAGAAAATTTAACAAGTTGAAGTTCTGTCATTTTATCATTGCAGGGGATGTGTGGGTGTCAATATAGTTCTAACATTTTGAAACATGCATTGGAGTCCCTTGAACTCCCCTGTAACACCTTTGTCAGTGGCAGGCTGATAAATGCAGATCGTCAGCTCAGGCCTTGTTGCATTGTGTCCCTTCTCAGTAATGGGGGAACTTCCCCAGAGAAGCCAGATTAGGATAGAAAATGAGTCCAAGTGACTTTTTAGTGGGGGAAAACATCTTGAGATCTAGCCATTATATTATAGATGAGGAAACAGCCAGTCTGTGTTGGCTCTTAAGTATTGTCTTGATGTCTCTGAGGAGCAGCTGACAGGAAGCTGCAGAGACTAAACCAGACTAAGGCAGAGCAAGAGGTTAGGAGGTGTGGATTTTAGGAGTTGACATCATAGAAGCACTACCTTTTTAACCAGTCAATTTTCCTGCCCTAAAGAAAAAGTCATAAGAAAACCTTTCCTTTGCCTGGAGCATGGTGAAAGTAGGTAAGGGAGTAGCATTGTTCAGTGGAAGTAGCTGACTGCACTGTGAAGTAATTTCAGTAGGGTCGTTAGTCTTTACTGGGGACACTAAGTTACCTATATATAATTATGTAAAGTCTGTTTTCTGTAGTTTTTACTTTAATGAGAATGTATCTCCCCCTCCCTTATATTCAGTTTGA